GAGCGCGAGGCTGGATTTTTTTTTGCAGAGTAATTATGTCATCCCTTATTGGGATTTTATGGAGAGAAAAAAAGATTAAAAAGCTCACGTGTCGAGAATATTTTAGTCTATCGATCTCGAGGGTTCAACCGAGCCTCGGAATCATGATCAAGTACAAGTGTCATACTCGACACTTTGCCAATACAGTAGCAAGTGCACATAACTCTGTGACCAGTACATATGCACATTACACGCAAAAATGTCATTCGGGCTTCAGAAGCAATCTGCCGAAAAGAGCAGACGTTTAAAAGTTTCTGACATTGAGACGCGACCGCTGATGTGGGCGGAGCTGACAGCGTCCCGGCAATTGGAAATGGCTCTGGGACATACCAAGTTCGGTGCGTGTCGGCTCTCGTCGTTGTCAGGACTCGTCCTAAGTGAAGCCGGATTATGTAAACGGCATCATTTTGCATTTGCGCCGCTAATATTCTCTGTGTGTTTTCCGAAGAGAGAGGAGACTCCTTTCTCACCTCTGCTCAAGTAACCAATCGCCTCGTTAAGTGAGTTTGAATGTTCCCTTCTGAGAGCTGTTTAATGATCCCATTAGCAGTTCTGATTAATCAGATGCCACCTAAAATCTAAAATAAAGTGTAGACTCAAGTATGTCCGTATAGCTAATACATAATCCACGTCACCTAATGAGAAATTTCACAATTTTGTGCTTGAATTCCTTAAGATAACTTGAGCCAGAAAGAAATGAAGCTTCCCTATCTAAAGATCCTGGCTGGAGGGAGAGACTTCTGCGGTTGAGGTGACTAAGGAGTCTTATTTCTGGGCCAGATTCACATTAGTGACATTTATCACTGAGAGGGAAGATGGTATAATTAGCCTGTCAGTCTACTTTAGACTGAGCTGGCGCTCTTTGTGAAGAAGAATGAACTGCAAGCCCAAGGAGCTGACAGCCAGTCGATAATGTGGCAATTAATGTCATAAATAATTCTAAAGCCAATTATATTTAAATGGACCGTACCCTCTGAAATAGCACTTTATTTCCTATCACTTCATGATGTGTTCTGTATCAAACAGCCGGGGCAAATATATATTTTTTATTTCTACATATGGCCGACATATGGGAAAGCTCTAATGTGAGGCATTAAAATCAGAAGATGTATTTGTTGATCGAGTATGCTGTTGACTTATGAATACCTCCCGTCCCCGGCGTTAAATGGCAAACACAAAGTGTAAAACCACTTTAATTCATAACGATATTGCCTCCATGTTGCCAGTTGTATAACATGTCTTCAGTTCTTAAGGAATGCGAGTGGTTTAATGGCGGTGGTGGTTAAATATATTAAATGCTCCCCCTGGCCTTGGGAGGGTCAAGCCCAGTGTGATATATAGATGAGGCTGTGATGGCTGAAGGTCGTGTCTGCTTCTCCTGCATAATGCATGAATCCTGTAACTCTCTCTGGCTCCGATATTCGGAACCTGAACCTTGGGATGAAAATCTTACTAAGTAAATCAGCAAGCATGCTGGCATTTCTATTAACCTCCAGCGTGGAGTTGACACAAACATGGATCACAATAAATAATATCTTGCAAATTGTAAATCATGTTTACAACTTGGGCTGCGAAGTGATATTGTTGGATAGTGCCATATGTCTAATGTTTGTTAATGCTAATTCATTTGCACCGTAGCAGAATAGAGGGTGTTTTTAATGTGAGAAATTACAATTTCGCGAAACAAATATGGTGTATATGGAGTCTTGATTGCTATTAAACAAAATTTACTGCGGCCCTTTCATTATTTAACCAACCCACATAGTTCATGTAAACATGTGGCAATATTCTATCATTGTACGCGTTTTATTTTGCTTTTAATGAGCGGGACCTCCCGCTTCAGAGATGAAAATAGCCAAGAGCTTGCATGCATGCATGCATGCGTGGAGTGAGACAAAGGAAAATGAAATGTTGACCTTTACAGGAAACATAAGGGGTCAGTGCGGCACCTGTGCCTTATGGGCAAAATACCTACTGGTGACGGCAATTTGTCCTTGCAACCAGGATGGAATTAAAATGATTTTATTTGCCATTATTTCACCTCTCAGCTGAAATAAAGAAAGTATATATTAATTAAGAATACAAACTGAACTTTATATCAGAAGGAAATATCCACGTGGCAGCGCAGAGAATCTCTACCTTGTTTCAGACGCTGCATGCGAGTCTGCGAGCTCCCCTGCCTTCCTTCATTTCCGTATCAAAGGGTAAACTAATGCAAAATGTATATGGCCCTCGGCACAAAAGATGGTGGTGCGGCTCAGTACAGGAGGATCTGTGTGCTAAAAGCTCGAAACATCTGTGTAAACACATGGCCTTTTTCCAACCATGTAGTCAATGTTCTCATAGCCTTAAGATAGATGTCCAAGGCAATATACCTTGCCCCGGGGCCGTGCTGGAATGGCTTTGAACATCTGAAAAACCTTGAGCTTCGAGCACTATACTCTTTCAATATTTCAGCTTCATGGCAAAGCATGAAATAATTATATCTATGGCTTTTATTTGACTCTTTGTTTATATAAGCATCGGATCGATCGTACAGTGGGGGAAAAAAAAAAAGGTTTTAATGATTTTTGCCGGATTACATTCAAAGGTAAAGGTGTGTTTTCTCTGGCGCAGCGTGTGTGAAGACAGAGTCAAATAAAACAACAGAGGACCACCTGCCTTTGTTGTCGTTCTTTAATTCTGTTAATAGCCCAAGGTAAAGATTTATCTGCTCTTGTCAATTTGCCTCAGCCTCAATATAAAGCACCAAGGTCACTTTTTCCTTGCCTGGCCGACAGGATTAAATTGTCATGTCACTCTAATAGGCAGCACAGGGAATCATTAGTCCAACTCAGCTGCCTGACTGGCATTTCGGTCCAATCATGGGAGTGTGCCGCCACAGGCCAGCTAGTATTGACACTGTGTCAGGACGGAGAGGGGACGCCTTAATCAGCCAGGACGCTCTCAACATTGATTTGACAAGCTGTCGTAATGACCCCCTTGTTTTGGTAAAGGATCACTGTTTATCCAGGCTGGCATTGATGCACTCGGAGTGCTGCATTGTCATGGAAACTATTACCACCAGCCAAGCCCGTGTAGCTGGACAAGAGTTGTGTTCAGAGGGGTCAGCGGATTTGTGGGTGTGTGTGTACTTTACGTGCACAGCCCAGTGTGACTGGTATCTGCATGTAGTACCTGTAGTCGGGACAGAGGTCGCTCGACTGACTAATCCTGTCCATGAGCGAAAATAACATTTAAATAAACTGCTTTAGTTCTGTGGAAATTAATTCGGTGAACGGAAGGCATACAAGTCTTAAAAGTGTTTTACGTTGTCAATCAACAAGTCGCATCTTGCCATCAGCAGTTGAACTGTTGTCTTACAAGCACAGGTCCATAAGTCTGTTTTGTCACAAGCTCCGAAATGCTTTCATCCTAAAACATTTGGATTCTCTTTTTTAACACATGTTTTATGATTGGTAATGTGTTTATTTAATTTCCGTTAACTGTTGACCGTGCTACTTATTGTGCCAGCTGTCTGAGGGTAATATGTTGCTATTATAACATGCTATGTAGCTACGTGCTCGTGCAGCTTTCTGGGGTTAGCTTGTGTCATGGTTTCATATCATAGCAGTTTAAAAAAATGTTTTTTATATTTGTTTTTATGGGATATTGCAGGATCTTAATTGATAACACCTTTTGACTAAATGGACATGTATCTATATATCTCAATAGAGGTGATACATGCAGTGATGCGGTGTGACGGTGAGGCTTCCTGTGTTGGTTTACCTAGAAGACAGGCAGGAGGATCAGGGAAACCAGCAGCTTCTCAGCGAGGTCTCTGACAGTAAATATTATTGGCATGCTGACAGCCTCCCACAGTGCATGGTGTGTAAAATCGTTAACAGGCTACGTTATGGGCCCTCTTCATCCACAAGGTGAGAATGTGGAGTGTTTTTATCAGCCATTATCCAGAGGGTGCACCGAGTCACGTGATCAGCCTGGGAAGTATGTTATTGGATTACATGTGGCTGAGCTCAACTTCCAAGTGAAAATAAATGACATGAAATAATGTAGAAAACAATGCAATTTCCTTTCATTCAAATTAAATCATGTCAATCAATTTAATGTAGAACACATGGGTTGACATGACCAGAATGAATGCATTATTCACGCCCGTACCTACTTATGTGCTTTTGTAAAAGAAAGCAGTACACAGAATATAAGCGGAACAGACAATAACGTGGAGGAGTTTGTGTGAGTAGTGATGCCGTCACTGCAGTGCGTCTCAAGCAGCCATGTTGTATCCATGCCAGTCGCCAATTAAAAGGATGACGTTTAGATGCAATTCAGAAACCCAAATGAGCCTCGTTGATCAGCGCAAAACAAGCAAGTCGGGAAGAAAACTGTGGCCGAACGGCGAGTTGTGTTTTGTAATGGCAAACGGAATATTGCTTATTCTGCAGCTGAGGAAAAGTAACGTGTTCATTCATGTTTAGAATGAAAGAATATAAGCTCGTGGATCATTTTCCCCTTGAAAAAAAAAATTTGAAATTCTCTCAAATACCGTTTTGTGAAGTTTCTGGATGAAGACTCAGTTGTTTTTTGTCGGGAATTTCCTGAACTTCATGTACTATTAATTGGACTTTTTATCAACACATTATATTAGATTTTCTTTTAATATTTCAACATGCTGTACTTTTTTTCCAGCATACTATGTTTTGATATTCAGACTGACATTATACAATTACTTTTTCTTTCTTTAGATTCTATGACTTAACATACTATGTTTTTGTGACTTTTTAATGGATTTTCTTCTGACATTCCATACATTTTTTTTTCCGACCATTACTACCTTTGGAATTTATGCTATACTTTTAACCTTTTCTACCGTTTTAGTGACTTTAACATGCTACACTGTAAAAGTTGTGACAAACTTTCTTTCTCATTCTCGGATTGGGAAAAAAAGACATGACATAATGTAGAACACAATACATCAGCTTTTAATTTGTGAAAATACAAAATGAAATCATGTACAATTTTATGTACAAGCCTATTTGTACAAGACAATAAACTATATTGATTAATATGACATAGTCAGAAATATCAGCTTAGCACTGTCATTGTTTCTACAAGTCAGTGCTAAAAAGAAATTCACAAAATAAACCGCAATGCTGAATGCCTCTCAACCCCAGTTATTGTCAAGACTAGAAAATAATATTTTACATAAAGCTTTACATTTGGATTGATTGATTTGACGAGTACATAAAATGAATAGCTATCAGGTTCTGCCTTTGACAATGCATCATTTAAGTTTTAAGACTTTAAATTTACTAAAGATTCTAATCATCTCCAGGAAATTACAGCTTAAAAAACAAAACAATAAAAACAAGATCTCTGCGGTAAATGTGTGTTTCTCTGCAAAATTACATTTTGCTTAAATTCGGTTAAAGCCTCTTTTCGCAGCGGTGGGTCTTCTTGAGTCCTCCGTTGACGTAAGCACTGCCCAGCACATTCATGGCACGGAGTCGGACGCTCCGTGCCACTAAAATCCTCAGTTTGCATTGTACAAAATAAGAGTATCATAAATACATCAGATATGTAATAGATTGCCAAGACGGTTTACCAGCAGAATCTTTTAGAACACATAAAAAGCCCAAATGATGTATTATAATAGAGCTGTTTGTCCTGTATCTACTAAAAGCATCAACATGTGGAAATGGGATTGGTCATGGAGTGAAAACAAACGCCTAATGGCCTCCATGACAATCCTGTGTCAGGCAGTGCTTACAGCCAAAGGAGGACTTGAAGATGCCCACTTCATGCGACATGAGGCTTTCACATCTTCAGACTTTATGATGCTAAACCATAGTATAGATTTGCTCTCTATGGTGCGTTAAGTAAAGAATATGTCACTGTTACTTTGTTGACAAAACAGCTCTATCATCATTTGAAAGAATAAACCTGGAGAAATTGTGTAGATACTTGAAGGCTTTGCTTAAAATCATTTATGGGGTTTTGGACATTGCAACCAAACAGAAAAATCAAAACAGTTATAACAAACAACTCGAAAAGGCAAAATAAGACTAATGTAAATGATAAGGCTGGAGCCAAATGCCATTTACACACAGACGCTGGCCGTCATAACTGTCACAAATGTTGTGAATTAGCTCTAAATGGCAAAGGAATCACTGAGTCAGGCCCAATCCCCATGTGTGAATACGAAGAGCACGGCACTGTGATGTGCGACTGAGGCCTTTTGTTACGTTGCCTGATTTGAACGCCTTCTAGGGTCTTGACTCGGTAGATGAAGTGTTTACGCATCGGTCAAAGTAAATAAAATGTTTGATAAACACACCAGGTGTGTAGAATGTTTTACAGGCAGAACAGTCGTGTGCCATTCTTTGTTTATCTTATTTTTTGAAAGCCTCCAGGCTACCCAGTGTTTAAAGGGAAAACGCTATTACCCGGTTTCTGGGTAATTCCCTCAGGCAAAGTGTGCATAAAGGGCTTGAGGATTTAACAGCGGGACCGCCGCAGGCCTGCAGACTTTACGAGATCTTGAGTCAGAACATTGGGATCGGGCCTCAGTCACTAACAATGCCATTGTGGTGGGATTGCAGCTGGAAATACACATTTTAACACACTGTACAGAATAACTAACACTGGGTATAGTCAATGCAGAAGTAGTTGTTAACCAACAGCTTAAAAGGCAACTGCAAAACTTGATCCAGTTTTTCTAATCTGCGCTTTTTGTAGCAGTAGTCATTGCTGTTCTCCTTCAACCGGCCCTCATTCCCCGAAATGCAACAGACAAGTCATGGAGTCCGGATGCCACAATATTAGCTGTGCAGACTAAAAGTTGAGTGGTTGCAACATTTGACTAGGATTGTCTACATCTATATTTAATCTGTATCTTGTGTGTGATTCCGCTTGCCGCGGAGGTGAATGAGGAAAGCAGCATGTGTTTGTTTGCAGATGAGAGTACGACTCAAGTCTCTTCTGGGGGTCCAAGCGTCCGCTTAGCACTCGTCTTCTACTTCTCTGATGGGTGCAATCAAGCTGCATGTGGATTTATGCTGACTGACTTGGTTGGTGGAGAGCGTATTCACAGGCTTCATCTGTATGGTCCTCTGCTGCGGATTCTCCGACTCATCTGTAAACCTCTTTTCTGAGAGAAAAACAATATTGAGAAAGAAAAAGACAGATTAACACAACCTGTGGAGAACACGGTTGGTTTCAATTCACACGCCACTGACATAAAATAGGTTCCCATGATTTTTTATATTACGGCAGGAGCTACGTGAGTTACGTGGGATCAGAAAAACGATTTATTGCAAAGTCTGTCGAGCCGCTGGTACTCTGGTGGCAACAATAGCAGCCACAACGAGCTAACACGCTGGCCAGTTGTGAACAGCTGTTCGGGGTCAGTGAATTAATGTGTGAATCTTTCTGAATACCGTGATATGGATTTTTAACCATAGCGGCCAGCCCTAACTTCAGGTTTGATGCAACTTCCTTTCCCTATAGAAGGAAATAGGTAGTCTTGCATCATATTTCGCTGGTGATTCATCCACTTGACATGTTAATGTTCATGCATTTTCCTCAGCACAACTCAAGGCCGTAATGCTGAGACATCACTTGAATAACAGAATAAAGGGAAGTTGCATTAAACCTATCATGAGCTGGTGCACAGGTCGTAACCATGCAGTCCTGCTGCAGTCACTTAGAAAGACTGCACTACTTGGCTTTCATTCAGGGGGTAAAATGTCAGCATGGAAATGACCATATAAAATGCATTTAACGTCATGCATAATCATTCACTTCCATACCTTGGCCCACTCTATTCATCCTTGTTGCACTTTGGAGAAAGAAAAGTAGTACACTATATGTAAGCGAAATGAGAAATACTAATGACTTAACGTACTGCACAGTGTGATTCTCTCATTACAGATTATTATGGATGTGGAGTAGGTTAATCAGGAGGGGGCAAGTTCCATCACCGTACATTTAGCCACTGTATTATCTGAGGTCATATATCATATCCATGCATGTTGCCAAGGCAATTAGAAGGATGATTTAGTTGTATTTCAGATGACCATCATGCGGCTAACAAACCAAATGTATTACTGCACTGGTTTACTTTAATTAATGAGAAAAACTAACTTCATGTGGAAATTAATTTCTATAAAAAAATGTGCAATTCACTCAGCAGTTGGTGGGAATATTCTCATACATGTTTTCTCACAGAAACGATAGAACGTGGAGAGCTGTCTCACAGTTCAGCAGAAACAAAATGTCATCTGTTGATTCGTAAACTTTGAATAGGTTTCTAGGATTAAAATATCTATATATAGTATCACCCAGTTGTTCAAGAGAGAATTACTCACAACCACAGTACACATTTACTGCAATGGAAAGAAGCTCACAGTGATTTCGCCATGGAATCCCCTTGTTTGCGGGTCATTCACAGTTCTGTATTACATGGCGTTATTGAACCCTAAGACATTTACACAGATGGACATCAGAAAGCTTCAGAGGGGCACGTACTTTTGTTTGTCCCGTGAGTCCCTGCTTCGGGCGCGGTTGGTGCGGTTGGTGGTCGGGATGGAGTGGACAGAGGAGCTCTTTTTGCTGGAGGAATGGGACGAATGGGAAGAGTGGGAGAGGCTGGTCCGAGACTGGCCTGCGTTGTGGTCAAACTGCATCAGGCAGAATATGAGGTCTGAGGGCACCAGCTCAAACGCATATGGTGGATTGGTTATGACGTACCTGGAGGAAAGAGATGGAAGGCCAGTTCTAAATTCAGTAAAGGTTGAAAAGTTTCTTTCTAGGTAGTTTTGAGCTTCAGGTAAAGACGCATTAGGCCCGTACTCACCGTTTGGTACATTGGCTTTGGCTGTTTAGATGTGCGTCTCTTAACCGATAGATACCAAAGCACAACATGTTGTATGTTTTCAGGGCTTTACAAAACAGGTCACCGTAGCAACCGCCATCCTGCAAGTCACAAACACAAATGTGAAGCATGCATTCTGAATTGATAATCTTTTTTTTTTTTTTTAATACAGTGAGCTCTTGAAATAACCTTCGAGGTTCAGCTGTGGAAGTGTAATGTTGCTGGAATAGACCTACTTTTGGACGTCACAGTACCTGCTTCTTGTCTCGGCGCTAGTCGCTCTCAGCACAAGTGGACATAGATGTGCTCGGCCCTTGGGCGACAGAGACTAGTCACTTACCCCGAGGTCGGCGAAGGGCCCGTCGTACAAAGCCAGCTGTGCCACACGACACCTGTCCCTGTTCGCCAGCGTCTGTGGCGTGCTGTAGCCGCCCCGAAGCGCGTTCTCCTCTGCCAGCAGCCCCTCCAGCTCCGGCGTCGCCCCGCCAGTTACCAACGTCCGGATCAAGGTGAGGATATTATCATTGAAGTATGTCTAAAGGAATGAAGGTAAAGGGGGGGGGGGAGGGGGGGGCAAATCCGTGACCAAAGTCACAACCGAAGCGTGTCAAAGTGCCAGCCTGGCCGACTGGTGCTATCCGGCGCTGTCCTGTTGTGTCACACTGAGCGAGAAGGCAGGAGAATCCAATTACTGCAGTTGCCCTCAGACTCACGGGAAGTCCCTGCACACATTATGGCTGTCCAGGTATTGCCTATAGCTTACAAAGTAAGCACATTAAGCCTGAACACACACTTTTGTCATCGAAGTTGCGATCTTTTCAATGCCAAGCACCAACTGATTTGGGGATTTACAACGAGGGCGAATGTCTGCATCTTGATCCCGTGTCTCCTCCTGCTTGTGCAGCACGGTTACATCTCCCTCGGCTGCTGACGGCACTATTGACTTAGATGATGGATGAGGCCTGTCCATTAAGTAGCATTACCTTTGTCTTCACTGGAGTGCACTTGAAGGCAGCTTTGTTCTAACCTCACTCAAACTGAAAGGCAGACAAGTGAAGCCGTCATATCTAGTACAAGTTCCCGTCTCGTCGGCTTTTGTTGTAACGTGAGCATAAGAGGGCTTACGTTTCCAAGGGGGATTGATGACACGGGATTTCTTAGCATATTTTAGATCTATGACGGTGGTTGTATCTCTGCACTAAAACACCTTTCACAAGCTTGTCTCTTTATGACTTACAGCACTCATTAAGGAATCCAGCACGCTGACTGCGAAGGCTGTTCCACAGGCAAACGGCTGAGTGAGGTACAACTCCGTGTCGGGGTCGTCGTCATCATCTTGATCCAGGAACTGAACGTTGGAGTCATTTACTGGGGAGAAATTACAATAAAAATGCATTACTCATGTGGAATTCTGTGTCTACGCTTTCTGCGTTATTACCCAGATGTTAATGGAATATTTTGTGTGAGAAAGCATGAACTGTGTACTTAAGCATCGATCACGTGGAGAGCAGGACACAGTGTTTGTGCACAGCCACAAGCTGCAGATATGGATTATTGGATTTTTTTTCCATTTGAGTGAAATAAAACTGGAGTTTGTGTTCACTTTCTTGGTCAACTCGTCATATTCCATATCTAGGCCATGCACACTCATGACACCATGCATAGTCAAAGCTACAATTCAAAGTCCTCCTCAAGTCAGTATTAGAAGCACCACTGTGCCAATGTTTGTCTTGTAAATCCAAGACAGAACTTCCAATTACTTGCACTTGCACGTCTAAACAAATAAAAGCATGTCATCGCCCCAGAACCTTCTCTGAAGATGTCTTTGAGCACAAAACACATGCAGTAGCTGAAAGACGGTAATGATGTAGTTGGAGAAATACTATTTCTGTGAGGACAGAAATAAATGTCAGTCCAATCGGGAATGCTGAGATGAAAGAAGGGCACGGGCCAGAGAATGTGATCCGACAGAAGATGCTATGAAAACAGCCACAAGGACTTTTGAGAGATCAAAGTGCTTGTAATTCTAAGGAAAATAAAAAGGGGGAAAATGTTGCTTTGAGATAGGGGGCCAAAACAAGACAGGCAATTTCAACCAGAACCAAGGGTAAAAATGTGCTCAAAGTGATGCCATGGGAATGTACCGAGCCTCTTGTGCAGCAAGAGAAATCAAAAGGAAGCTGATATGGAGGCAACAGCAGCTACGGCACTGCAGAACCGGACAGCGGCACGTCTTACCCAGCTCAGTTATTATTTGTATGCTGGTCCCACTGCTTTTATCCTGACTGAATGAAATCACAGGCAGTTTTTGGCCTGGCTTTGCTAATGGTGCTAGACAAGTGTTGAGGAAAAACAGTTACTGGAGCATGTCAGCAGGGGACAATAAATAAAAGTACTGTTTGTACAAAGTGTTGACAGCCTCTAAATGAATACATTGTTTTAATATGTTTACAACTACATAACTGATAAAAAGCCTGCGACAGTAGAGCGTACCTAGTTCGGTTATGATGGGAATATTGGCTCCAGTAGTGACGGAAGTCTGCCTCACTAATCCATGGACTGGGCTGTTTTCAGGAGACGATCTATCCATTCCTGGTGGTGTGAAGCCTACATGGACACAGAACATGTTAATGCAATATTCAATACTTTATCAGAAATACATTCATTCCGAGCACCGATTAGGCATAAATTTGCAGAGTGCTACGTTACCATACTCTTGACAAGGTCCAATATAAGTCTATATATAATACATATGTGATATACTACTCATTTTGTTTGCTCTAGATTTACGTTTTTGTATGCGCGTGTTCCCATCAACACGCACACACGAAAACGCGTATAGTATGCCGCAGTGAAATAGAAAATAAGTGACGCAAGATTGAATTCAAATTGACTTGACATTTCTTGCTTTCCTTACACTGACAAGCAAGCACGTTAAATCAGTGATGCTGCATGTATAATACATGGGCCGTGTTTAGACATCCATCACTTACTGCTGACTAAGGCAAATGTGGGGTCATACATGCATTAGAGAAATAATTAAATTGTCAGGGATCCCTCGCCAACTCAAGTCAAAAGGTTTCCAAAAAGCATTTCTCTCAATGCCACATAATGACCATTATTGAGGTCAATCTCCAGCTAAAAGCGCGCTTCGGGTGCAGTTTTTACGAGGTATGATACACATTTGTCTCTCAACACAGCAATCCAATAAGTCAGCTGAGCTTTTTTGCGGCTGTACTTGTTGCCACCAATCAAGTTTGTAAAGAAACCAGTCGTTACAGTAACCTGGGGAGGAGTCAGTACGGTTTACTGTCAACACGCAGTGACACCAGGTCGGCCAGGCAGCACCCAGTGAGGGATATCCTGTGTGCCAGGGCGCTGTCCCTTCCAGGCGGCGCAGTGAACTATGATCGCGCGCTCCTTACCTTGGGAATTAGCCTGCAAGACCCCGATGCTGTCGTCAAACAGCATGGACTTGATGTTGAGTGACGCCAAGATGCATTCCTTGTCTTGCAGTGACGCGTCGTCAATATTGTTCTGATTGGCTGACAGGATGACACACATGTCGCAGAGGTTGATGTTGACGGCCCTCAGGTCCGCCCGACTCAGCGGCGTGCCCTTTGAGAGGAAGTGAAGGTGAGAATTTGTTATCTCTCACCTACGACACCAAGAGGGGAAATGCAGCAGCATTATAATTTCAGTTTTCCTCAGTGAGCCTTTGCTCAAATTGTGTGTCTCCAACAAAATACTTGTTGTAAACAAAGATGTTCTGGAGGAAACTTAATTGCTGCCAGGATTAGTTCATTAGCCTTTTCCCCAAACAGAGGTGTAACAATAAAGAAAAGTCAGAGCGTTGGCGGCGGTGGATGCATTACACATCCTGTATCCCTCACGTTAAGTTCAGTATTTACTAGACACAGAGTCAGCATTCAATTACTTATACACAACAATAAACTTTTCAGTAGCCACGAGCAAAATATGTCAAATAAAAAATGAACGTCATTAAAATATATTTTTGTTTGGAACGGTTGTTGACGTGATGAAGGAACTTGAATTATTAGCAGATTAGCTGATATTTCACTCAAAAACACAAATCTCACAGTGGCGCAATTGGATCACCAAGATCAACTTTTTGGGTAATTCAAATGTTTCTTCATCTCAGGTTTATTTACCAAAAAAAAGTTTTTGGTTGCATATTAGTCATTTCTAGAGGACACGATGTGTTTATTTTCTCAAGCGCATTACCCCAGAAGGTAAGGATATTAGAAATGGGGAATTTGTCGTACTCACGGGTAAAATGGAGACCTTTGGAAAATTGTGCAGCGTCTCCCACTCCCGTTTCAGATACTCCAGTGAGCCGACAAACACGATGTGCTTGAGCTCATGGTAGTGAAAGTTGCTCGCTCTCAGAGGCATGACAAAGTTCCGGAGACCGATCAACGCAGATTTGACATCTCCAAATATGCACACGACCACGTGACCGCTCAGAACCGTCATGGCTGCCTCGCTGCGAGTCTGAGAGGGGGGAAGAAAGAAGAAAAACAGTAAAAATGTGACAAACTGCTTTCTTCTGGCTATTACTAAGTCTCTTTCCTTCCTTCAGTTGCATACTCGGCCAGAAAAATAGATCTCGCAGTACATGTCCGCAATAGACTGTGAAAGTAATTTGAAAAATGGCATATGTGTTAGTACAAGAAAGGCTTCTATGTACGGGGTCTCCCTATAGCAAATGACATGTCAAACACCTCATTACAGAGTGTTTAACTGCCCTGTCAACCTCTGATGGTGCCGCGTGACACGACACATCCGTCAGCGGCGAGGAGAGTGTCGGGGACAAATGACGTGTGCGGAGTAAAAGAGCAGAACCCACCAAGATGACCTTCTCGATGTCTTTGGACGGGCACCAGTGAAACATCCCCGTGGAGTCGTACTTCTTTATGTTCTCGTCCATGTTCTCAATCTGCTCGTTGCCCGGGATGAGGAGCGGGTCATGTCTGATCACACACAAAAAGACGGAAGGGACAGAATGAAAGTTGTTTGTCCTTCGTCAATTTACGATACCGCACCCTTAAAGACTAAATCAAGTTTACGGTTGACCCTAAAAAAGTGAAAAACACCAACTAAATTGAAATCAAGCAATTAAAATATGGTCAGTCAAAATGAAATGAAAAGCTGAATCGTCAAATCCTCAATAGACCAGAATAGGAATCTTCAAATACAGAAAAGGAGCTTTCTTCTTTTTATTTTCCCCATTGCTCATTCCTGTCAGTAGCCATCTGCAGAAATGCCAACAAAACTGCCATGTCATCAAGCAGAGGGACATCAGCGGCGGCAGCCAGGCGGAAGGAGATGGCAGCAACACACTGCGTTGACTGGCATGAGCACGGAGATGCAATTACGCCCCCTTACTGCACACAGCTTTTGACGTACCGCGCTGCGTGGTAAAAGCTTTAACAGACCAGACTTTAAATATTTCAGGAATTTGCCCAATCATATTTGCCGTCTGAAGTGAAGGGTATTAATGTTTAAACAGAGCGTCGGAACTACATAAACGAATTTCACAGAGCGCGGCGGTGAGCCTCATCCCGCCCAACGCTGACCGCTGAAGTGGTCTCCCAACAGGAGCTCCTGAGTAACCCCATTTGCATAGAGATATATCAAATTGGAAGAAACTTCCATGTTTCTCAACTCTCCCATTTCCCATCCCTCAGACAAATAACAATACATAAGACTCATTGCAAATTGAGTTTAAATAGAATATATACTCCAGTAAATGAATCCCAGATTCATTTGAACACAACATCATCTTGTAAAATGCTATCCATCATACAGAGGTTGAATAAAATATGCAGGTCTTTTAGACAGTAAAATAAAACTCACATGGAACACACAAGTAAAGCGTAGAAAGTTGAAACGCAAAAGAGACCCAGCCAACATGGTTGAGCAGCATCAGCTATGGTAGCAACAATGCTAACCACGGAGGGCGTGTGCAGCACAACACAAGTCCCCTTGCACTAAATTGACTTTGTCAGATTCAGATCAGCGCTGAAGATGTTATCTTCTGAGACTCAGACAGAAGCCTTCTGTGTCTGTCCAAAACCTTTTAAAAAATGTCATCCCTCCTTTCTTTAATCCATGCGAGTACTTTGAGAGAATGCTACTTTAAGTAACATGTTAAGTATGCATCAAAGTGTCAGCTGCAACTATCATCCCTCAGGCTCAGGCAGACTGAAGCAGAAAAACAGCCCGCCTTGGGCTTATACACCCCGAGGCAAGACTTGGAAGTAGTTGGAGGAGAAAATGTCTTTTCTACTACTTTCAACCTCAGACTCAAATCTGTCAAAGCAATTCCAATTTTAAAGGACAAAATCTGTGAATATCAAATTCTGCGGGTGAAAATATTTAAAATAATACAGTACATAATATATATTTTACAATAATCGGTTTCTCGGAAAAAAAACATCAGAAATTTGTAAAAAAAAAATATCCATTGAAATGCATCCAGATGTTTTCTAATTTCTGTCCAAAGCCCAAACATATTCAATTATACAGAGGCAGAATAAAGCTGCTTGATTGAATTGTGCCAATGTTAATACACCCCGACAAACCACCAAATCAAGGAACTCAGCTCTATTTATCCACGACCACCGTCTCCCATAACTCACATTGCACTCAACATCCCCGGCGTCTGCTCCAGTCTGAAACGCAAATCCTAATAAGAGTGAAAGCATTTAGTGGTCTTACACCCCGGCTAAATATTGCATCAGAAGTCGAATGTTTCACCGCTCACTCAGTGGCTCCCGCTGTCACTTCGGTTTGCCCTTGCGGGAGACGACTGGTGAGGCAGAGCTCTGCCAGGATAGCTATCCCTCACTGTCAGCCGCGACGGCCCGTCACCATCCCGCACCGCCAATTGCCTCGGCGGTCCCGTAGCAGACGTGACGTGGTCGCGGCGGCCCGACGCGACCCCGAAGCGCGTCGTGACATCCCGCGATGGGAAGGGTCTTACGAACCCATCAAGGAGCCCCTTGGAAATGGTGTTAATTTCAGTGAGGACGTCATTGTTAAGTCCCAGACATTATGTGTTAAGTTTGCCGGTACATCTGGAAACAGGAGTGGGTTCTGCCTCCGTGCGGCTCCTTTCGGAGCGCTTCCAGACGTTCGACGTGATCAGGCGGCATAATTCAGTACTTTAGTGGTAAGAAGACACGTCTGACAAGACTTCACGCGTCAGGACCGCTAAACATAAAGCCAGGTGTCTACTGGAGGAGCGTAATGACAGCTCAGAGGGACACAAAGTAGAAGCTAAACCTGCACATTATGTAAATTTTCTATTTCAGCATCACTGCACGGGCTGACTGTAGCGCTGCACAAGTAGCGAGGACTTTGAGATTCTCCCCATCATGCAAACTGACAAAGACTTGCTCTTTGGAACCCACAGCCAATCTGTTGGTCATTACTTATTCACAAAGGCCTTGAGACCGCAGGTCCTGTAAAAACACATTCGATATGGAATACACCCAGATGTTTTCTTCCTGGGCTTGTTGCGATGAAGTATCCCTAAGGCTACCGCGGCGGATCCCAGGCAGCAGACGCGCTGCACGAAATGACCCATCCACCTGCACCGCGCGGCGTATTAGCATGGCAGGTAGATGGATCGGTTCGGTGGGCTGATATTTAGCTGTGGGCTAACGCATTAGAAAAGCCTGGTTTTGTTACCCAAGAGTCTTAAAAATCACCTGGATAAATTCAACTTTAAAGCAAACCGAAACCATCAAACAAGGGCAAAGCCTAACCCTGAAAAAACAGGCCATGGATCAAAAGTAGAAGGAAAACATATGCATACATTGTTTTTATATGTATGTAATACAATAACTAATTTGTACTGTACTATATGTTTGATCCATTGTACCAAACAATACAGACATCTGTGCGTTATCATTTCTGAATGTCAATTGAAAAGCAGCCCTCCCTTTATGGGAACATAAAGTCATCCGTCAGTTTTAATAAAATGTGATTATTCTACTCCACTTTGTATACGTCAGGTTGCGGGTTCTCCCTGCTGCCTTACTTCCTTGTAACACGGCACTTAATGACAATGACTATTGCTATTATCATCAGTGTAATGGCTTCTTGTTGAATAACCACGTTACCTCCAGTCAAAATCAATAAGCACCAATATAATTTCACGGGACAAGATAAAAGCAAGGTAGCATTTGAAATTCTCCTTTCACTGTGATGATACATATCGTCTGTGGCCCTACGTGCTGAACACAGCTCAGAGGGATCCAACAATAGATGGATAGCCTTGGGCTATCTATCCTTTAGAGCCTCTCTGGCTGTCATTAGTGCCAGGTCTGTTTAGGAGCTGCAGTCTGTGGGGGTCGCTGGAGGAGCCCGGTGGCACACCGCCTGCACGTCGGTCCGGTGTTTGCACGAAAACTAATTATTTAGGATGTTTTACATAACACAAACTTTTGTATCATCGTCACGATGAACCTTCAGAATGATCCCCTTCAGCCGCCCTGAGCTAGATGCAGCCTTTTAGCATTTTCTCACTTTATTTGTGTTGGTTTTAAGCCTTGCAACTTCCCCCGCTTTCGTCCACACAGGCAGCCGTTATCGCCCATCACTAGTCCGACGGACCGAGTGTGCGCTGCCTCCTCAGAAACAAACCGCAGGCTGACGGCATCGGAGGCTCGATAGCGATATTATTACTACTAAGTCAGGACTTGGTGGGGAACAAAATCGGAGCTAAAAAGGAATGAAAATTGGACATCTGTTGAAACACAAACCCGACTTCATGAATTTGCATAAGAGGATATGAAGCGATTTTTTTACATTGTATTAACATGAGCAACACCCTTTCCTGTTGTAAAGTTCGACATCGTAATGTGTCCCCATTGTTGTCCTACCTCATGATCTTGGGTGAGGAGTTGGGAGAATTTTTCATGCCTCCGTTGCGTTGCTTTTTTTTGGGCGACAACGCAGACTGTTGGTCCTCTTCAACTGCAACGCAAAGGCAATGGAGTGAGGGAGGCAATTTACGGAGGACACACAAAAAAATCCAGAAATGTGTGACAGCCAAAAGGACAACACACAGGACAATTTGAGGTCAGTGAACAGAAAAGATAATACAGAGGAGCGGCAGGGCGGGTGAACAAGACAGAATGGACGGCACACTTAAAAACTTGCGTGCGCCGCTAAACAGTCGACAGCATACATTAGCACATCATTGGCGTGATTGTGTATGAAAATGCAAACATGCAATAGCGCCGTCATCAACCATCATGCCAATCTGTGAGCTTGTGGTCACCGCACACTAACAGAGGTCATTGATTTAATCCGGATAATGTAACTCACGGGTATTGATATACTTTTTCAATCCCCTGCTAGTACAAATTTCCTTAAACTTGGACAGCTGTGCTTTTGCTCATCATTCACATTCTCATTTAATTAAGGTAATAACCTGGAAACAAATAAGGCTGTTCATGTGCCAACACTGCATCCAATCTGGATTGCTAGTCTTTCTTCATCTCAGGAGTGACGCCCTTGGCTCATATTGTTACAGTGATTTATGTACAGCTGAGATGCCCCTTGGACATTGTCTTCATCAGTACAGGAAACTGCACTGAGGTCTGCATAGGCATTAGTTTGATACCCTTGAGTAAAGTAATCAGGCAAATATTTTCGTATTATCACGGCTGAAGAAAACGACTCCTCTATAATAAACACAAGCAGCTAAAAAAAAGTGTATTTTCTGATTGCATTTTAAAAAGCAATCGTTAACAGTGGGGGAAGAGCGTGTTACAAGTCACGGAAAACACACCGCGAAATCTTTTGATGACCGTTAAAGCTGCCAAAAAAAACAGAAGAGACCAGAAGAGCTTTCATCAAAATGAATGAATTCTCTAGGACCATGCTGCCCTGCAGATGAACACAGGATGTCAAACGCTGCTAGCAAGAGTGACACTGTAATGGAAAATGTTGAGTTGGGGATGGGGGTCGGAAGGGGGGGGGGGGGGCTTCCAGTGGAGAGAGATGCTCCAACACACTGGCCCTTCACATCTTGCTTGGCCTGTTCAATATTTAATGTTTCACAGCTGACAGCTGCACACGCTGGGTCATTAGTAAAAATGCTACACATGCGACCACTCCAGCCTGGCGAGCACATGCTTTGGTTGTGCTGTTGTCGCGTACAGGCCTGCCAAACACGCCGAGGGCAAAGGGTGCGGGGGGTAGAGGGGTGGGGGGGCGGCGGGGGGTATCTGTACTTCACGGGGAGGCTGGCCTCCTTTGCCGGGTCCCCGGAGCCCACGAGGCTCCGTCTCGGAGCAGAGGGCTCTGCAGACCTCGCCGGCTGAGTTGTGTGCAGCCATGTCGATAGCTTTGACTTTATGCACAGATGTTTTCAGAAGTTTCCACCTCCGATCAAACTCAATGGCGCTGAATTTAATTTAGTTTGTGGTAAATTTGAATCATTCTCGGGCCTCACAGTCAGCAACTTTCATACGATCCATTTTCTACTGAAGAAATAGTTGCGATGAAAACAGAATTTTCTGTAGTTTATCAAGAGGAAATTGTTTTTTTTTACAACTACTCAATCCACCTCCTTTTTGCAGGTGGAGGCATCTCAGGGAGACAGGCTTTAAAACAAGGGTGCATAAAACTGAATACAATCTGCATGAGCAGATTTCACAATGAGGAAGCTTTAGGATTTGACCCTCTGATTCCTCGCATTAACCGCAAGATAGGATTTAATTCAAACTGACTTCAATAAGACCTGCGATGTGTATGTTAATAAAACATATTGTGACTCTTACCATAATTAAAGAACAATCAGTGCTTTTTGGGGGTAATTCTTCCTGGCACAAGAATGCTAATAGCTGAATAATTTAAAAAACTCATTTTTATTAAACACCACTTAACCACTTGGTATAGCCACCATTGAAATGTTGGATTTGACATTTAGTTGGATATTTATAATAAACATGAATTAATAAAAACGCTCTCAGGTGTTCCAGCGATTGTTAAGGAGGTGATTTAACAACCACTAGCTGCTGTTTGCAGTTCACTCCTGATGGAGGCGGCGAATGAATTTAGCGGTTTACATCTCCGCCGGTGCCCTGACATAAGCATAACTGGTAACAATATGTTGGTACAATATGGGGAAAAGGGAAGCTCTTTTTCCCCCCAAAAAACAAAAAATAGCCAGGAGCTAAAACAGGAGAATAGAGATGATTATTTCTACAGTCAGCTGTCTAGCAGATTATCCTCCCAGCTCCAGACCTCCACTATTCATCTGCCCCACGTCAAACATGCACAGCGCTTCTCCGTGACAACTCATTGTGGCACATTTGCCGCCTATCACAGAACCCTGTTGAAGTGGACGACGCACACGGTTCACACTCCTCTTGGTGGCGCGATGAGACTGAGATGAACTGAGAAATCGTCAAACTAATTCTCACCCGTTTGGATTTTTTTTTATGCTTCCTGCCTGTGCTCTAAAAATGAATCGGCATTATAAATTCTTGCGCACGTTTAAATGTTGTTGTGTTTTCACCAGATTAATTCATTTCCAGGCACAGTGAAGCAGTAGCACCATCTACTGCTGAGCTGTAACCGATACCCGACACAAACCACACAATTTCCTATTGCTTTGCATGTAAAACATAACGATGACTGGATAGAGTGATGAGCAGCAAACAGTGCAGCCGGTTAGCGACAGCCCAAGAGGTGGTAGCTGAAAATGGAAAAGTGGAAGGGGTTAGAAACAAATGACAAAAAGGAGGAGAATGGAAATCAAAACTTACTTGATTTGATATATCCATTATAGCTATTTTTAGCTGAGAAAAACGCAGAGACAGATGAGAGGTTACAGGGAAGAACGGGCTGTAATGAAAGCAAATTATAAATGACAACCAAGGCGGACAGATTTCTCTTTAAGGCACATTAACACAGTGGTGCCTTGAAGACAACATGGAGAGAGCAATGAGAAATTAAACGAGAATTAATTAGGAATTTGATTTTTCAGCCAGGGAGTTTAAACTGTAGAAAGAACATTGTCGGCGTTTGTAGGCTGAATCTGGTCAACAATTTGGTTATTCTCAACTCAAAAGACGTCAGCAGTAGGTATTTGTTTTGTTTTTGTTTACACCAAAGTTTAGGATATATGTTGATCATTTTCTCAATCAATTAATGACGAAACTGATATCTTTAAATAGCTTGTTTTGTCTAATAAATATTTTTTTTTTTAAAAAGCATACAGACACAACATAGATTTACAAAGACAAACAACAGAGAAGCTAAAGAAAGTTTGTTATTTTGTTGGAGTCGGTTGACTAATACATTTCTAGGATAATAGCTGCAAAGTGAAGTACGACTTATTTAAGCAGAGCTAAAAGTCTATTTTTTGGGTTTTTGTTTTTTTTACTCGTTTGTGATGCAGGTCCACAATCATTCAAATATCATCTGCCTCTTGGCCCAACAGTCTGTAAAGTGTCAACCAAAGTTTAGCCTGTCATACGTTTACAAGGCAGCCCTTCATTAACATTTAGTCAGGCGATACATATGGAAGAATTTAATATGAGACAATACTCTTCTTGTTCTTAGGTCTAGAGCATTCGGTTTATTTATTTTTTTCTTCTTTCCCAAAAGCCATTTTCCTGCGCTGCCCGACAAAACCCGCACAAACGGATGGGACTTTGTGACTCACTTTTTGGAGCCACGGGTCCCTCACATGCTCATTAGTACCTTATTTCAACCCCTTGCTTTACAACAAAGGTCATGCATTGAGCTTAAGGCAGGACAGTGACAGCAATGTTCAAACAGAGACCTTGCTGGTCCTGGCATCTGTCGCCTGCAATCGGGAGGGCGCGAGCCGAGTCACCGGACTAACAGGCTAGCATCTGTCCCACAACGAGAGAGGAGGATAGGGGGGGTTGGGTGGGTGGGGCGGGGGGCACTCAACTGCCTGGTGGTTAGAAACTGTCACCCCGAGTTTCATGACAACCGGTAGCACTCCAAAAAATGAAAATGCAAACATAATTTCCACGTCAGGCCGCATAAGGCCTCGCTCCGCGCGTCTCCCCGCCCCATGTCGACAGCGGCCGCGGAGCTCGGCCGGCCAAGGCGGCGCTCGCGGGCACCGCGAGCCTGGAAGACATGTTGAGGGGTGGAAAACGCCCAGAGCTATTTCACAGAGCGGCCTTTGATCAAGAGACATTCCCTAAGACTGCATGACAGTCCGCGATGTTTTCCAGCAAATTGTATCAACACTCTGCAAACAGACACATTCTTCATGCCTTCTGCGATGCATCAGTACAATTTAATGCGCCTTTTGGATTTAAAGGGGAATCACACTTGAGTTTATATGCAGCTCAATTCAGTTCAGGTTGATTCGCCAAAATACAACACGATCCAGCCCTATTTTGTTGTCTTTTGTAGTCTTTCAATCAACTACAATCTAGTTCTAATTCAACTGTATTCCAGCTATTAAAGTAAAATGTAGTCAATATCAAGGTTACATTGTGATGTTAGAAAATACAAGCCAGAGCTTCTCCATCGGCGATCAGTGTACGGATGTTTGGGAGATATTCCCTCAGAGGCTGTTCAAGTTCCTAACTTGATTTAATAATTACAGTATATTAACCTCAATCTGTAGTGCTCCGCTCAGAAGAACCCTTCAGGCCTCAAATTCTATCCTGCTCACCCGCACATGTACGCTAGTGAAATATTTGGATCACGTTAAATGTTATTTGGGTTATTCTTAAAGATGAAATCGCACTCTCCACGGACATTATAGCACTCGTGTTTACCTACAAAAACAAATCATTTAACAACATGCATGCAAATTCGCCACAAAGGTTCCCTGAGTGGGAATCAAGAGATTTGTGGCGGGGATGCACAGCTGTACATTTTTCAGGGCTTTGGTGTTTAACATCTTGTGAACTCGTTGGTGAGGTCACCGGTGGAGGCAGCACGCTAGGATTAAGGTTCAAGCTCTGCAAAAATGTATTAGTGACCATTTAGTTCATTTAAACTACAGGTCCATTTGAATTTACACTCTCGGACGAAAACACTAGCAAAACAGTACACGGGCATGCTTCACCACGGCTAAAAGTCAACTCCAAGAAAGCACATGGAAAAGACGACGAGCCGACTGGAAATCATAAAGCTTAGAACACTAAAGCGACACAGCTGCTAGAGCTACTGCAGGCGGCACACAAGCTAAAAGACACGGTCAGCACAGCGCATGTGACAAACACTGAAGGGCACACGTCATGGCGACAACTTACAGGCACGTAAAGTGGCTGAGCAATCATTAACAGAGACAGCAGAGAGTGGGATGTCGCGTTGAGGGGAGTCCATGTTACAACGCACATTAACTGGCATGCAAGAGCAGTCCCGCTCTGAGCGGCCGCAATCAAAACAACATGCCAGTCTTATTTTCTTGTAGGCGAGCTTCCTGGCTACAGTCACGGGGTTCGGACGAGAGGAGAGGAAGAGCAGGTTAATGCAGACGGTCGTTCTGGAGGAAGAGTTGGACAAAGGCAAGACAGGGCACAGAGGACGGCTGCTGCTGGGATGCACAACATAAGACTTTGTCTCGATAGCGTGCAAATGTGACATTAGGAATTGTTCACTTGTTCCACACTTTGTGTTTAAATCGTTTCAGGCCATTAGTGGGCAATATGGGGTACTGGGAAGGGAAGGGGGGGGGGGGGTAAGATGATGTCCTTAAGTCGAGAGGTGATGGGTAAAAGTGTGACATGAGCGGAAGGTGAGAGAAGGGCAAGTCATTATTTTTGTTTCAGCAGCAGAAGAGACAAAAATGACTTCAGCCCTCACGTCAACGTGACCCTTCCAACCTCATGTCCACTGTGTCACGGGACATGACTGGAGCATGTCTATTGAGTTTACAACTCTTGAATAAAAGAACTGGTTTCTAATTCTAGCTGAGAGTTGAAACTGACAGTAAATGTGACAACATTTTGTGCAAGACCATACATCCATTAAAAAATTCTTAACAAACACATAACCCCCCCCCTCTCCCCGGGAACTTGCCGTTTGCTGTTTGAAACTGTGCCACCTCACTAAATAACCCTGGTTTGGGCTGCGTTTAAAACCATTTATTCCTTCTGTTAAACAGTTAAAATGAGAGATGTTCCTCGTCTCTCGTCCTGGTGGCTTTCTTGCTCTGCTCTTCGTGCAGGGACGTTGTGTTTTTGAATGGACGATGGGGACATCTGGTGGTGAAATGAAGTACAACTACCACCTCAAGCGGGGACGACGGCATTATTGATGCTCTGTTAGTAATGAATCCAATAGCTTTGGGCATTGCATGTTCAACTGTTTAACTTTATCTCTCCCCCTAATAAAAAAATGGATGTTTGCTTTTTTTTTCTTGGTCTATTTTTACCCTCCATTTGAAAACGACGTGCACATAACGGGCGGATCCGGGCAGCATCAACCATTGTGCATGCAACATTTACAGTACATTCAAACGGGTTGCTTCAATCGGTGGGGTGGGGTTGCAGGTTTTGTTTTTGGAAGGGAAATGAATGCACATTACTCACAATATATCACTATAAAGTGAATTTTTAAGGAAAGTTTGTCAAGTTCCCGAGCAGCAGGAAGAGAACACATCACACATGTTAAGATTAGGTGTTAGCTGTAGTGGTTAGAACAAGACAAGACTGTTGAATCCAACAGAAGGAGCACCAACGTGGCACATGATGATTTTAAAGTGCAGAGATAAATAATACATCCAGGTACCTGTGGTGTTAACAGTCTCTGTGAATGCCTGTTAACATCACAAAGTTCAGTTTATCAGATCAGTTTACTGGTTTTGCTCAGTATTTACAATACGCCATTAGTCTAGGAAAACTTTAATTTGTTATAAATCATTATCTCTGTCCTCTGATCCTAAGGAAACCCCAAAAAGAAGGAATACAAATAAAGCCTAAATAAAGAACGAGTTTACCCCGAATAACCTCATAACAAAAAATCTGAAAGAATAGATAGAAAGCTGGGTTTTGTAATTTGAGTGAACTGACTGATTAATCTGGGCAGGTATTTATGTTACACGGAGGCCCAAACGTGTAGGTTTACAAGGGGAACTTGGAGCGCACCTGTTTGTTTTGGCTGCGGAAAGAAACCCGATGACCTTTCTTCACGCACAAGTTACAAGAAAGTGAATAATTAATGCAGGAACTAAATGGTTTGGACACATGGCTATTTAGGTCATGTAAATACACCGTCCCGCTCAGTGCTGGGAAAGAAATGTTACTGAAGACAAATAAACTTATTTAATGTTTTTAAAAGTGTCACTTACATTTCTTGCACCCACATTTCTTAATCCTTTTGGGATCACTAATATCATCGTGGCAGGCTTTACAGTAAAACAACGCCCTAAGGACGAAAAACAGGAATCACACTTTAGTCGATGTGCAACATGTTGAAATAAAGTGTTGACAGATATTAAATCTCCAGTACGTCTGCAACAAGCAGTTTTGCATGCAGTCACTCCCGAGCAGAAACACATAGTGTTATTTGATGCTTCGAGAATAAACTGTCAAAATGGAAGAACTGAGATTTATTTGATCAGGAAGAATCTGGTTACTTATTTATCTTCACTTATTTCCTGCATTACCAGAAAAAAAATACTATATCGTAAGCACTGGCGGCATGTAGCCTTACCCACTAACATAACCACCCTCGGCTGCTTTTTCTTAGCCACTTAAACAACATAACTTGTCTATTATAGCATCTGCTAACAATTTGCTGGCTATCAACAGCTACCAGTATGTTAAACCAACCAATCACAGCTCCTCAGCTTACTGTTAAACTATCTACTACCATTCAATTTCATTAAATTTGTTTTTTAAAATCCATCTTTTGCACAAACCTCGGAAATATTATAAACTGCTTTTTGAATTGTCTACCAGCATTTGAAGATTGGAAAAGTTACCTTTGACCTTCATACTTCTACATAATGTTTGTATTTGTAGTTGCCTTGTGACGTGATGCCTGATATGTTTTTCTTTGAAACAATCCCGTTCATTAACATACCTCTTCACTTCTTTGGCATCACTTGCAATGAAGAAGCCCAACGTCCCCTCCTGCATTTTCACGTGGTTTCCGGGGTTTATCAGGGTGCTGAGAGGATTGACAGACCAAAGATGTCACGGTAGACAGTTATATCACCAAAAGGTTTTGCACAAATCACTTGGCAACACGTTGGGATTTGTTTCCGTAACTCATTTGGCGCGAGAGCCCTTTTATTACAATAAGCCGATGAAAGCAGACCAAATGGTATAAAACGAGCAGTGCATTAGAGGAACCACTCACACCGAAAGCGTCCTCTGTGTTTGGAGGAAATTACTTCCACTTCCCTGTTAACTTGTTGGGATGTTATCAGAAACTCCTCGAATTAAGACACTAATTTAGGACATTTTGCAAAGCTGCTTGTGTTTGCAGTCCAACAGAAAAAGCTGATTCAAAGTAGCTTCATCGCTGAAGGTAAATACTGACGCATTCATGGAGTTTACTAACCCACTGAGGGCACATCCACTTACCTGCATTCCCTTTGATCAGACTTATACTCTATAGCTATCAGTAGCAGCTTTAGCTTCACGTAGCAGAGTCTGCAAAAAAGAACAATAATTTAACAAGATATTTTATATAAGAAAACATCTTCATTTCACACGAGCCTAAGCACCCATGTTTCCTCTCATTTTTTTTATCAACGCTTCTTCTAGTCTTCAACCGATATAGTAGATGAATAAATATGTTTGTGATTATAATACATAAATATGATAAATTCATATTATATTTATGATTACAATCATATTTTCATGAATGTGCAGAAGGCGCGAGTGGGAGATGCTTGCTTTTTGTCTGTTTCAGCTGGGTTAGCTCAAGCTTACAAAATGATTATGATGATCATCATGTGATTTGGAGTCCTTGTTTTGTCATAGTAACGGGATAACTTGCAAGGTTTGAGGAAAAGAAGGCTCAAGATAAGAGATTTCATTTGCATCTTATAGATGAATGAAATCCTGGAAAATGCATAGCCTTTCAACCTATCGCCAAGACTGACTCTTCATATGCAAATTGTTAGCTCCTAAAAACAAAACATTCCAGTATTACGTAAAAAGTCTTTGTGTATACTTACTCGCAAATCACAGGGAAGGACATGCCCACAAAGGCACTCGATAGGTACTCTGTGTACATCTCATTGGCTACTCCTTCTAGGTAATACTTCTGCCACGTGTCCTCCTCAATCTACAACAAAGACGTGTCACAAAACACAGAGAGTCTGTTCCTCTTTGCAAGTTAATCCCCATTCACCAGATGGTGCACGTGGGCCCCATCTGGCGTCATCGTTTTCTGACTATTCCGACTGTGTTTATGGCCAACATCACTTCTGAATGTAATCCAGGGGGCACAGGTGTGTGAATCTTAGCTGTGGCTACCTTGATGAAGGACCTCATGGAGAAAAGGTTGGCCAGCATGGTGGAGAGGCCCTGGGCCAGGCAGCTCTGAGCAATGAAGCCCAGCTTTAGCTCCGCGAGGCAAATGGCGTCATCGCCCTCCTTCCAGTTCCAGCTCGGGATGTTCAGAAGGTGGGCCTTAAGGCACAAACCACATAATGGCATCAGTGCAGAACAAAAGTAGTAAACCAAACATAAATATCTACTTAAAACATGTGAGCAATCACATACACAGTAGTTAATGACACAAGTATGCGGATTACACAACCTTATTGTGGTACTGCAACATTTGAGTGATGATTCTGATCTTGGGATGGTAGTTCTTGATCGATATTACTCTGAAGCATGACAGAGAGAACAGAACAGAAATCAGACCACTTGCATGAAACCTTTTCTGCATCATTGTCCCCTTTTTCTGGGCATCAATAATTTGTAAAATAAAACTTAATATCAACATATTCGTTGCTGGCAGTTATCTAAGCCAAGGGATGAGAAGCCAAAGACAAAACAGTTTCTTGTCTCATATGGAAGGAATTGTTTTGTAACTGATTCACTAGTTTCTCCCTGAGAGAAAGTTGTTGCTACTTTGTGATTATTTCCATCTCAAAATCAGCTCTGAAATGGTTTGCTTTACAATCCCTGAAAACAATTGGTCCTTGAACATCAAACCATGTCTCTTATTTTGAAAACTATGTAAATTGGTCACAGTGTACAGAAAAAGTGTAAATCTTGATCTCTCTTAAGTGTTTTTGCTCTACCTCATAATGTTGGATGCGTCCTCAGCATCGGGGTCGGCACAGTATTTGTTGGCCAAGATCAAACAAGCATCAGCTGATTCAATCTGGAAACAAAAATCACACCAGGCAAACGGATGATATATTATCCGACTTGTCAGTCAGCTCGAGGATGGACTTCACAGACATCGCGGTTTTGAAAGCGGATCTGTTAGTCACCTTAACTCTGGCCAGGTCGTGTGGGTTCAGGACGGATCCTTGATAAAACTCCACCTGAGTGAAGTGGCGCTTGAACAAGGCTTCCAGCTCAAGATTAGGGGAAATACTGAGAGGAAAAGGGAGAAACTTCAATTTGAGGAGGAACATTATTTATAATCTCTCGAAGATAATGTATATTGTTTGGAGCAGTATATTGTTTTTCTACAGAGACTCGGAACAGAACATGGAGGGTAAAGTACAAATATCAAAGTTTCAGGAAAATATCTTTATTGTTTTGGTAGATAATGCAATAAAAATGATGAAAATAGATTGATTTCAGTTCAGTAGACTGAACTGAATTATATCTTCAGATTGGTCCAAACATTAGGACGAGACAAATGGGAAAATATAGCTTTTATAACCCTTCGATTTCCCCACCTCCATGTTCATTCCGGGGCTCGGTAGTTTTGCGCTACACATTTTGCACTTACTTATGAAGAAAAACAATTTCTACATTGACATCATCCCTGTCCTTGTGTAGGAAGTCTTTTAGAAAGTTGGACACACTCTCAAGAGTAATATGACCACAGACCACGATGTGCCTGAAAGAGGAGGTGCAGAATCATAATGAAACTAAAGTGCAATATGAAATAAAGTCAAAAGCTAAAAACACACATTTACAGACACACACAAAACTCATTGTTTTATCGTCATCTTCGTCCTGGAATCAAAGTGTAAATCTGAGGTGAAGTGTAATGGAAACGTAATGAGTACTGTTTGGATTTATGTGGTATTATAATTATTATTTAAAATGATAAAAACTGTGTCACGGGAGGGATGTTCAGTGAGAACTGAATGAACGGGTCAGAGAGCACTGTGGATTTCACTTTCAGATTAGAGGGGATGAGAGTTTTACTTAGATGGAGATTATGAAATCAGCCCACAGTTCATCTGGATTCCCACAGATCCTTTATGTAAGGAACTCGCTTTGTGTTTATTACTGTACGTCTGCTTGATATAATTTATGCTTTTTTTTATAGAATAATTTCAGATGTCTACTCACTACTAATCACTGTTTTGACTTTTTTTGCGTCGCTTGTTCAACAAAGTTGAATAGGAAAATAGTCAAGCGAATGTTAAATGTATGACAGTAGATGATGATGCTAATGACAAGTAGACATGAAAAAGAAAACAGAGGGAAATAGAAAAAAATGTTGCATTAATATGTAATGCAAAAATCATTGTTTTATTACAATGTGTTAAAACTAGATGCAGATTTTTCTAAATTTCTTTCAGTGGCATATTGCTACCAGATTGTTAAAAGTGAAAAGCCACTTTGTCAACCGGTTGTTTGTGTGAGTATTTACAACTAAATAGAAAAACACAAACAAGCTGATTGTTTGCTTCAGCTCCTAAAACAGCTCAAGTTGGATTATTAGTGTTCAATTTACAGATGATTACCAAATTAGAATTCATACAACATTGTACAAAGTACACAAAAAGGACTAACGAAGCTCTAATTGACTTTTCTTCAAAAAACAAAAAGAAGTAAAGATTTGGTTTAAGAGAGTTTCCAAAACCATATCCGGCTTCTGTAAAACTAAGGGGAAAAAAATGAAAGCATGCTACAAAAAGCCGTATTTTGTTTGGAGGCATCCACCAGAATCTCACTATCTTTAGAAACAGCTGCGAAGCTTGCTACACATACGTGTATAAGTTAAAGGAATAGTGTCCTATGGCAAGAGTTAGACAAGAAGATTCCACTCTCAGGTCTTTAATATTACACCTTAATATCTTCTATAAAGGACAGGAGTGGTATCATTCTTATCATCTAACTAACTATTCCTGTGAATTAAATATAGATTGTATTTAGCCCTGAGGGTGTAGGTCAGACTGAAGATAAAGGCCAAGAATATTCAGAAGCAAAGCGGGACAAAAGGACAAGCATAGCAGCACAAAGTAGAACGTTTTTCAAGAACAAGGAAACAAAATTCCAAAAAGTCAGCATGAAGCAAGCAATGGCATTCAGGATTGGATGTCTGAGTTTGATCATTTAAATAAATAATGAATACTGAATTCAGGTGAGCTTAACTTTATTACCTTTAGAATTTTGTAATCATGACCCTATCATGGTCTTGAAGGCTCTGCCTTTGAAAACCATATTTATGAATTTATCATTAATTAAATACTCTATTATTATTTCCTACCCATAGTAACTCCATACTGTACATTATTAATTAAGGTAGCCTAGGTAGAAGGTAACCTATTAGTAGAACAGTCTATCAATAATTTTATGTTATTTAAACAATTTATCAATGTTCAAATTTAAGTTTGGATGGATGCAGACGAAGATCAGTGTGAATCACAAACATTTGATTTACAAACACAGATTTGGCCCAGACATACATCAACAAGCCAAACATTTAGGATTTTCTCTCAATTCACACATTCACAGTTTGTGAAGTCAGTGATTTATGAACAGCTAACTGTGTTAAATCACTGTTCAAGTTATATAAAACTGGATGTCATAGCAACAATTACAACTTGTTGAATGTAACATGTTTAATAATAAAATATTACATTCACAAGCAATAAAACATCCTTGCTCTATTCAATACATTTTCAACAGTATCTGGGACATCTAGTTTATATCACAAGGGCGGATTGAAGAGAAAATCCAATGTGTTAAACACAGAAATAAATGTGTTCACGACTACACAGAAAAAATATATGTTCTATCGAGTTATTTTTGTCTGTTCTCAGATAATTTTTTTTCCAAATCTCGCAGCAAATATATTTAAATTTATAATGTATATTTACTGATAGATTGAATACTGGTTCAAATTATACACTGCTTTCAAATATGTTTACTTTTAATAAAGAAAATCATATTTTTAGAATTCAATAACAGACATAAAATTGCTGCGATAGATATTTCTGCAGTGGAAAACCATTAATTTATGACGGGCACCAATGACAGCTTGCGCACACACACATAAAGCAGCAGCGACACAGTACAATAAACTACTCATTAATCATGGCCAAGTTCTTCAGTCACAGTGTGACTTTAGTTATTAATCGAGATCGTTACATCTCAAATCCCAGTTTCATGACATCTGTTAAAGCAACAATCAGAGAATGTCACCTCTTTACGAGAGGGCTAATTGAGTCACACAAAACCACACCATTAAATGTTTGCTTCTTTTTTCATCTGTTTGACTTACTTTCTGCCCCTGGTCGAGTTATAACTCCCTCCATATTTCTTCCGATTAAGGATGAGAGCGGCAATTTCTGGCACGTAGCGAGCAAACATGGCCTACATGCACGAAAAAGAAAAAGAAAAGGGCATGCAGAGAAGGTTCTACTGCGGCGGAGGCAGTAGAGCCTCCTTGAATACTTACTTTCTCCCATTAACCGCACTATAGGAACCACCATATTTCTTGCGGTTTCCTATTAACTCTATGATTTCAGGGACGTAGCTCGCAAACATGGCCTAAGGAGAAGATAAGAGACAGAAGAAAAGACTAAAAAAAAAAGAAGGAACAGAAGAGCAGGTCCTCTATCTGTTTTTTTTCAGGAAACCCGACTAGAAGAGGAACTCTACTGTGAGAAGTATTCGTGTTTATTTGTTAACAGTAAAAAAGAGAAATAAAAAAATGTAGCCTAAAGTTCATCTTAACAATAGTATGAAAAATGAAAATATGAGGCCAATATTTACGGATATTGGTAGAATAAAGGAGAAAAATGACAGCTGATGAGCGGTATGTCAATCTGTGATAGAAAAACAGAAGTTAATAAGAAAAAGCCTTATGTGCCATGTTTCGTCCAACAAACACACGTCAAGATGATTTGCGTAGCGCTGCAAAATGGATGGCGACCGTTTAACCACAAACTTTTTTCATTGATTTAATAGCAGATGCCATCATTTTTGTGATGTTCACTATAATATTAAAAATAATTATATGGGTCTTAACAATGTTTAGCCTCATACTTTAAACTGTTCTCCCGGACTATAATACTAGATTACTTTGAATGGTAAACGTATTGATTCAAAGTTCATTTAGTCGTTTCTTACATATGAAGTGTCACATAAACCCCTTTGAGACTGACTGTGTCCCCATGCTGTTTAATTCCCTTCTGAATAATACTTTATAGATCTGCATAACGATTTCTTCTAAAGAATCCTGTGCCACTTTTTTTTATCAGGTAGTTTACACCGGTCTGTAGAAAATGTTTTCTGTAAGATTTAGAAAGTATTTAATCATCTTCAGTATTCTGTAAAATCTCAGATTCATGCATTTTTATCCCCTAATATGTCTTTAAATATTCCATCAGGGTCCGACGTGATGTTGTCCATCCATTTAGCTGAACTATAACAAATCCTCCCTGTGTCATTGTGTTTGTTGGAAATAGGGAGGGGAGGGTGGAGCCATCTGAAACCGCAGTACTCTCAAAGTTAATAACAAAACAATAAATATCCAATCGTCTATGTCATATAGGAAATCATAAATAACGGAAGAAAAGTTCAGCATTTAACCTAAACCAATGCAGCAACATTGTAGACAACTCATGAAATGCACGGCATGCAACATACTGGTGGTGGAGTGGTGAGCCCCAAAAACAGCTCAGTGTAAACAACAGGTGGAGAGCATCACGGCACCCGCTAACCCGACTGGCAGCATGGAGGATATTATTCAGTAAGTAGAGATTTTTACCAAACCACCAAGGATGAAGAAGACCATGAACAGACGGCCCAGGGTGGTTTTTGCATAAACGTCTCCATAGCCAACAGTGGACATCGTAACCATGAGTAAGTAGACACATTCCCAGTAGGAAAGTGTCTGGGAATTTTGGAAGTTTTCCCAAGGATCCCCAGAATTTTCCACCTGAAAAAGAGGTCAAGGAAAACAAAAAACAGGGGTTTTGGTAATGCAATAGAAAGTATGCACTAGTAATGTGCCCTTTTTAATATACTAGCATACTTTCACAGACTGGCTCCCAATAACTCACCAAATGGATGAATCCTGCTGCTGTTAGCCATGTGCTTATGAAGATTGAACACAGGTTCACCAGCTTTATCGAGTTACTAAAAATAAAAAACATACAAACATTGTTAAGTTGTTAATAATTAGTAATTTCATTCGTATCAAGTATATTGGATATCAAAACAAGTTGAATGCTTTCAAATCCATTGTACAGTGGCCATAAAGTTTTCAGTAATAAGATGAGCCACAGTGACAAACTTCTAGAAATTGTCAACTGATATTATTATATAAGATTTATTACTTAAAACAATTCTAAAAACAGCTGTTGTCATAGTTCTTTTGTTTATTTAATGAACATAATGAATTGCATTATATACTTTCTATTATTTGGAGTGGTCTTACAACACATTTCCACAAAAAGCGCTATTTTATACCATCCCATTAGAAGATATGATAAATGCAATGCAAGTCTCCTCTCTGTATATATAATATTTTTATGGGGGACTTTATTTGAATAAGAGTAAGTAGGAAAAGTCCTTGCGTGACCGCTATCCTGTCTTTTCTTTCATCTGAGTGAATGAGAGAGGAGATTATTCTAAAACAGTAGTGTATAAGCTCTTCCTGAAATCTGTACAAAAAGCTTTTACACTTATCACCATGGCGACAAACAGAGTGTTGTTTCATTCAAGACTGGATCCTACTGTTCGTGTGACTGAGTGCAGGACCGAGGAGTAAGCTTGATGTGGATGTTTATCACATCCAATGAAAGCAAGCACTCATGCGTATTTCTCTTCCCCTAAGACATTGCTCACTCCTCTACTTTGGTATACAGATATATAAATATATTCATGCTTATAGCTACTAAAAAAGACCCAATCACTTTACAATGCCCAGACGTTAACAGGTTAAATGATTACAAACAGTTAGATACATTGACAAAGATTTGAATCCACTTACCTTGTCTTCAGTATATTCAAAAACTGTAAAATTTCTGAGAACTGTATCAACCTTAAGGCCCTTAAAAACCTCAAGCCTGTGAGAAAAAGACCATAAAGAAGTTATCAGAGGGGAATAGAAAAAACTGAAACAACAAAAGCATTTTGGCTGTGCAGGAACACCGTACCTTTCATACTTTCACCCTCGTCTATCGACTTAAACTTTAAGAAAGAAAAATCAACTCAACTCCAACTGATGAAGCGACACAGAGCCTCACCGTGTCAAAAAACTAACTTGTGGAATATGTGGAGAAAAGATTAAAAAGAAACGCAACATTCCAGGTATTTCTTCACGGCGTAAGTGTTTTAATCACAGTAATCTACCCGACACAACTTTCATTCCTCCTGAATGAAAACTCTAAACCTGGAAGTTACAAAATCCTGGATTAGAGACAGATGGACACGGTCGCCTCAACCTCAAAATAATTACATTTGAGGATATTTATAGGAAGAAAAAATGAACTTTGCCAAGGGTACAAGGACATCAAAACACCAAAAAAAATCAGCTGTGATAAAACCAGTCTGCGGTCCTCTACGTAAAGTCAGATCAACTGTATCATATAAATACATTTTACTGCCGAACGATTCATAGCTCTGACTCAAAAAGATCAATCCACCGCAGTGTCGCTGCTGCTGCGTGATCAATTAAAAGCCAGCTCAGCCAGAGTGACAATTCAAGTAAAATCCATCCCTGTGTGATTTAAATGTTGCTGCTGTAATAGATTTGAGGACAGTTCCAAATGACACAAATCAAAGAGGTTACGGGTAATCATTCATCCAGGCAAAAATGAATAAATTATTTGTTTAATGAAATGACGCGAGTGTGGTGCAGGTTGCCAAAAGCTAATTTCCCATTTCAAGTGAGCGTTTGCCAGCAAATCCTGAATCTGAACCCGCTCCAGCTGGAGTCCGAAGACCTCTGGACGCGCCAGCATTCAGCTTTAGTGGAGTTTCCCCCCTGTTCCCACGTCCTACTGGTCTTACCCCAATAGGAGATTACATGGAAGCATGAACCCAGGCGGTAGCAGAGGCTGTCCTGGTCCTCTTTCTCGGTGACGTGTCCCACCCTGACCCTGTAGCCATTCTGAAAGAGCTCCCCGGTTGATTTCTTGCGCCTTCTTGGGTTTGAAATCATCTGAGTTTGTGTTTCTCCATCGGGCAGCCTGTACACTAACATCTTGGCGGGAATCATGTCTGGAAGTTACTTTTGGTCGGCAAACGTTAAGTCCGAAACTTTCTTCACATCGACATCTTCATCATCCTGCATCCAGCTTGCCAGCTATCGTGTTTAGAAAATATGACCCCCCTCCAAAAAGAGGAAAAACATACAAAAATATACGTTTTCAAAACAGGTTGGCGTCAAAAAAGGTCCCTTTTTTGAAGAAGCCGTTTGGATTTCGCCTCAAACCTTCACAGCATCCTTTGCTGTGATCGGAAGCGTTCATCGAGCTTAAAGCAAACCCTTTTTCCCCCCATCAGGATATTAGAGTGTAAGCTCCTTTAGGATTCGTCCAGGGAAAGGAAGCGAGTCTGGCCGTCAGCTGGCTTCACAAGGTAACCTACAGCTCATCTCGATAACCCCACAACCGCTCTGGACAAAGCAAATTTCACAATTTAATCTTGGGACAAGAACAGCATGCCTCGCCTTTGTAGCAGGAAGCATGTCATGTGAACTATCAGCAAAGCTGTGTGTGTGGGGGGAAAAAATGACAGGCTTTGGCAATCATCGTGTTTTTCTATGGATTTAGTGATTCTGAAATAATCCCTAGCTGATGTAATAACCGCTATTGTAGTTGACGTTAAATCTAAATGTGCAGCATGAAAAACACTCTTGCAAAGACAGGAAATACAACAGCTGACAGAAATGTCTGCAAAGTCCACTTAATCTAAAAAAATGTAAAATACATGGCATTTCAGCAAAATACCAAATCTACTCCAAATCATTTCAGTACAAATAATATGACATTTACAACATCAGATCTGCTACAAAGTTATGCTGCTCTTTTCAGACATTCCTTCCCAACGAGCATTCAAACTAAAGAAATGCAACAATATGAATATATAAATGTCTCTAATAAATATTTAAGGTTACAATGGATTTTGTACTAATTAATCGCACATTTTTATTCATCAATTGCAATTAAAGTTTTTTTTCTTCTAGAAACTAAATTGTACAAGTAATGAGTCACTGGTGTTTAGTTGTTAATGTTATTTTAAACAAGGAACTACACACACGTAATCATGTTGGAGGTGGAACATGTTGAACTAGCCAACTTCCTGCGGTCCCAGTGCACTTTGCTGTGCTCTTAACTCTCCATCATTTAGCGGCTGCAACAGGTCAGAAAATCAGCTCCTAAATCCAGACAGCATCATTGTACCTATTAGCTGCAAGAATGTGTTTTTATATGAAACTATTTTTGATCATTTTTCCATTTGCAAGCCTTTCATGCATCAATGTTAGCGAGACCAAATATATTATCCATGACAATGATGAATACAAGTCAACGCTTCTCATTTTTGTCAACATGTTCAGACGGAGGGATTTAGTTTTGATCAAAGGAGGGAGGTGGACAGCTGCGAACAGATGCGGCTGAGCTGGTTATGACCTCTTCACCAGTTTGAACTCAGTTAAACCGAACAGTGAATCAGTCACTAATCCTCCACGACCAACTGCTCACTGCCCATATTGACTCAGATTATGTCTGACAAAAGTACTTCCACTGGAGCTCATGTTAAAAACAACAAGAATTGCCAGCATATTTTTTTTTAAACTTGAATAATAATTCTTTTTTTTCATATTTGGAGGCAGATTAAAATTGAAATACAATGCAAAAGCATTCAAATCCCTTTTCGGTGAACTATGTGCTTCAATGCTTCAAATATTTACTGTCTGCAATGAAGTGCTGCTTGTTCGGTTAGTGTGAAATACAGAAAATGGAAGAACTGTAGAGCGGGCCTGTATGGCAGAGCAAATAACAAACACAGCAACACCTACACAAACAGTAACAACGAGTATGGTAACAGCAACAACAGAACCGCAGTGATGTTCACGCTGTTTGACTCAGGAATTCTGGGCAATGTAGCCCAAATAATCATGTAGAGAAAATGTTGCAACATCATTTGAATTCCTTTATAAAATAAGTGATGGGTAAGTCCATGCTCCACAAAATTAGCAGCATCGCATTGATCTGTTGAATTTTTCTCACAAACCCAAAACACAGATCAATGATCAAAATGCATCAAGCTAAATCTAGTGGAAGTATATAGTTTTCATTGGTGTCATTGTCAATCTATTCTGAATGGTATCCTTTGTTATTACACCCATTGCTAACAGATCTTTTCATGCACACAGACTACACAGAGGGATTCACAAAAACACATGTGATACATGTGCGTGCGATAAAAAAAACCCACACACATTCTGAAACGTTGCACATAAATTATCCACAAGAAAACGAGATATGACATAAACACTGCTTGCAACAACTATGCTGATAAAATAATTAGTAAAATTGAGCGCTGTACTGTCAGTATAATCCACAACCAATGATATTCACAGGCCAGGCTGCCTCTCATATCTCACAACAAAATCATGGCCACACTGTCATGCTTGCTCATGTCCACTAGATGGCATCAGCAACCAGCACTGGCTAGTTCTGCTTTTTGTTGTTTTCACACCAAAAGTCACTTGCAGCACATCCGCTTGAGGAAAAAACACAGACAGTATTGAAAGGTACAGTTGCATAACAACTGTATCCATCAAGCTGTCATACTGAATCTAAAGTAGAGGGGGTTTAATAGTGTCTGCGACATGGAAGGTTTGTTTCTCAGCTGGCAGGGGAAGGGCAAGCAGCCATAAAGCCAACAATGCAGCAAAAAACAGAGCTCCCGTTTAATCCTGTAATTCCTCACAGACCTCTCCAAGTGATGAGCCTCACACATTTAGCAAATTGTCTCCTATTCTTGCGATCAAGACCCCGGCAAAGCCTATTACCTGTCTTTTCAATCCATTCCTGCGTGTTATAATCACAGCATGATTTCACGCGAGTGTTATTACAGGGCGTGTGAATGACACCTGCAGCACAAAGCCCGCTGCCCACAACACTTGGCCCCCCAAAAAAGGCAGCAATTCTGTTTCCTTTTAATGACGTTGTACAAACGCAAGTTTACCACACAGGATGAAATCCATATAATATTTGAATTGTTGTCTTGCAAACAAGCATTGCCTTGATGAATAATGTTCAGTTTATCAGAGTTTTTAATTTGATATACTATTTCCTCAGTAATGTTAAGAAACATTCAAACTTTTCATGCATATCATGCAATGTCCCCCATAGCTAATTCTATCGCAAAATTACCAGATTTGTAAGGTCTATCTAAAGCCTAGTATTGCCTCTGCGTTTTCAGCGCGACGCAGACGCAGAAGCATGCGCCAGCCTTAAGGTGTGAGCATTTCGACATGCTGAGAATATCTGGTGCGTTCACTGACCGCTGTCAAGGCACATTTAAATCCACCGGGCGGCAGCAGAAGCGCTCGGGAAATACAAGCTCAAAAATCCCCAGACAATGCCGGGCCTAATAACTCGCCAGCGTGAGCACTGGGAGCATCCTTACCCAGCCAGCTCCTGTTCAGGTACACAGACACGAACACCGGAGGAACCGTGAAGAAGTCCACCACCGAGTTCACCTCCAACCAGAACCACAGCTTGTCATTGGCAGCAATGAACTAATGGAAAAGGAGGAGTTTCGAGGTGAGATTCACAGCTTTCAGATAAACAGATAAGAGTGCAAATAAAGGACATCTGTTTGTTTTACTTACTCGGAGGCCGAAGTAAAGCAAGAAGAACACGTTGAACGCCATGTCGATCTGCAACGTGAAGTCTTGGTAGAAGTTTTGACAGGACTCGATAGGACTGGAGACAGAGAGAGAAGCAAAGAGTTTTAATGTCTGTAATATTGGTGTTCAAATGTGAATAGGGTTGGTAAAATGCATGTGTGTGTCCATATCAATGGTATAAAAAAGCATAAAAGATGCATTCTTCATTTCCTTTTTCCACTTTTAAGGTTTCGAAAAGAAGAGGGAACTTAAGTGTTGAAAAATGTTATTTCTGTTGAGAAAGGACATGCATTTATTGTCACACGAGCAATAACTTGTCAAAATGCCTGATTAACCCTTAAATAACTGCAAAAAAACGTGTCATATTTCAGGCGCCATATCACATTAGGAAAATGCCACGGTTTTCCTCTCAGGCCCACATTGCCGATCTCTTAAACATTTCCGGAAACAAATAAAAACATGATGGAAATGCAGCGCCAAGGCAGTAGTTTAAGGGTTAACTGCATGCAGGGTTCATGTCTCTTTAATGAAATCAGGCAGCCATAGCAAATACTAGCAATGCAGTGAAGTCTCACCCTTAAAAAGCTTGTATCTGGCACTAAGAATTCAAATAAAGAGAAATAATTAACCAGGTGAATGGACTGTAATAGGTTAGTAGGATTGTGTCATAATAATATGAGCTGAAAATGAAACAATAACCCTTTCTCAAAATTCACACCTGAATGACAACAGTTTACTGTACACTCACAATCAATTCATTAATGTAATGTACAGCTACACTGTGGAATATATGTTTGATTAACATAGCAGTTGAAGGAATAGTTTGATTACATTTAAAAAAAATAAAAAACAGAAGAGAAGATTTCCGTAATAGAAACAGTGAGATGTTAATAGTGTTAGTGCTGAAACTGTTAGTCGATAGATCAATTCATTTTCTAGTCGCCAGACAATGTATGTAAAACTATTTAGTTTTTGGAATAATTTGCTGCTCCTAGCTTTTAATTTGTGAGGATGTTCAGTTTTTTTTTTTTTTACATCATTTGGGTTTTGGACAGTCGCTCGAAAATAAAACCAGACCTCTACTTGGACTCTTGGAACTTGAAATGAAATTATATCGATTCATTGTTAATAATGATTCGTTGCAGCCAATCGGGTGAATGAGATGATTAACAGCAATCAAGTTGTACAGTCTTTTTCTACTAGAATTTTAAGAAAACAGTTGCAGGAATACATTGTGACCTATCTATAAGCTTTGTTTTTTTTCCAGGATAATTCTACCTCATTGATCCTCAAAAGTGAACCAATCCGGGATTGATTGATCAGAACCCTTCCCCCAAGCGCAGGCTATACATCTTAGTATATATATTCAACAGTAACAATGTGCTGTCTAATACCAGTCGGATTAAAGCCAATCGCTTTTGTCAAGGAAAAAATAAAATAAATAAAATAAACTCCTCATGGAGTGAAACGAGGTAACATTTCAACATCACCGGGATTATCTTTCAACCAATCTGATGCACAGAAGCGGCACTCGGTTGATGATCGGGTCGGTGATGAGATGGGGGCCTCTCCCCCCTCTCCACCTCCATCTCCCCGCAACCAGGTATTGTTTGGAAGTCTTCAATACAATGCGTTTCATGCATGTGGGGCGCCGCTACACGCGAGTTCTGAGAACAGGAAGGCCGCACTGGTGAGGATGTAACTCTACCTGAGCCCGTCCAGGTGATGAAATGAGATCATGCGCGCAAACCGCAAGCCAAGCCCTCAGCTGCCTGTTGTCTTGTGGAATAACAAACCCAGTTTTACAACGCATTTAATCTCTCTCTGACTTAACACCCCTCCGCCTGGGCTTGATAAAAAGCTTTTATCTTGGTTTATTTTGCTGTGCTTCTTGATGGCACATCCTGTACAAACACCGCTGTCGCACATGGAGCTAAAAGGCTCTCCAACTTCCTCCAGTGGGATGAGTGACGGTAATTGGTTTTGAACCGGAACTCGGGTCTTTCCTGCCCCGTTTCAGAGTCCGATCCTGTCGATGCAGAGATTAAGCGTCTGTGAGCGCTCGCTTTTTGTTAGCAGAGATCACCGGCGAGCTCGGAGCGCTTTACCTGGAAGGAGATTCGATCATAACAACCAGCAAGTACGCGCTCTCAGAGACACACACACACACACACACACACACACACACACACACAGGGCACAAAGCACTGCATGTACTTCACGCACATGCATCATATACGAGTGGGTAAGAACCGGTTGCTGGCTAAACGCACATCTTTAAATAACACATCAACAAAGACTACAAGTGCTACATTTCTACATACGTCTTGGAGACATTTTATAATAATGGACATGAGGTGGACATGAGGACCAAAACCCTTGAAGGACACGTTTCAGCTTCTTAAAATAATGTGTTAGATTCATGTTACGGAAATGATTAAACAAGGATTTATAAACCAGAGTAGAAGTAATTTGAAAAAATACTTACTCAGAGGAATCTATGAAGTATATAACAAGGGCCCCAATGCTGAGAGCAAATACGAGCACCACCTGGGGGAAAAAGAACAGACAAAAGGAACCTTTAAGTTGGTATAATGATCTCAAAAGATACTTTTCACAAAACTAGTTGTACTCGATACTTTGCACTTTTGTACAGGTCATTTGTATAGGTTGACACCGGCTTTACACAGCCGACTTGAAATTCTGATTTGTAACATCTATTAAATCATTTACCAAAGATCTTGAGTCTGGAGGAGTTTCGAGGGTAAAGAAAAACATCATCATTTCTTTTTTACTTTTGAAAGTGAAAATACTTTTGTATTCATGAAAACAGGAGAATAAATGGATCAGGGAGAAATGATATATTAGCCAAAGAAAATCAATGTAAGAATTCATGAAATGTACAAAGAAGCAAAAAATGTCTTGTCAAAACACATTAATATAGAGCTGCAACTTTAAGTTTTACAGAGTAAATTAATGAATGAATTGTTAGATGCAGCTCTAGATCTTTTGTTCTACAGCTTTCTTTCTAAGAAGCATAAACTGTCAGCCAAACTTAAAGTGAGCAGAGGAGCAAATGCATTGATGGGCATTAGACATTTTCTACACAACTGGAAAAAAACAGAAATGTGTTTCACAGCGCGCGGCGGCTGTTCAAGGCCTTTGGATGGCTAAATCGACAGGCCTTGACGCATCTCCTCAGCATGTTATACAAAAGAAAAAGCGAGTCACGTTTTGGAACAGCAGTGTCACAAATGAGTTACTGTATGTCCAACAGTGTACATAAACACGCAGGAGCTCGGCTCATCGTGTAAATAGGCAGCGGAATAGTGGGCGAGGTGACAGAAGTGCTTTAGTTTTTCGCAGACACAAACAAGGGAGGATGCAGCTGAGCCCGAAGCTTAAATGTAAATGGTTGAATAGGAAATGGACCTGGAATAAATCAGTGTATTTAGAACAGAACTCGAGGTGACCATCCGTGCCAACGGTAGGAGAATAACCTGCGTTCTCGCCGGTCTTTCCTCACTATTGTCACTCCGAGTCACACAGCAGGGTGGTTTAGAAGTGACTGCTGTCACGTTGGATTTGTCTAACCAGAACAGAATAATTTCTTTTACCCAATTAGAGCATTCATTAAAATGCAACACAGACGTTTCACATTTTGTAATGTATCACTTACAAAACACTTGTTTTGACCTACATTTGTTGACACCATGTAATCATCTTTAGAACACGGTTGGGCGATACTTCTATATGATAACAAGCACATACTAACTCAGAAATGTTTTTCATTTTTGCAGAAATCAAATCAAATGGCTCAATTAAATGTATCAATAATGGAATTTACACAGTTGTATGCAAAACATGGTTATTTCATACATTTTGAAATACTAGAAAGGTTCAATACGATGATTTATATTCTCATCCCAAGATGAACTTTGTTTTTCTTGTTCCCACGTTGTAATGGGAAATAAAACCATTGGCAAAAAAAAAAAAAAAATCAAACTGCTGTACGTGTGCATTTGGGTCCACCAACTACACCCCCGAACACAGAAAGGTTTCTGACGGACAGCAGAAGAAATGCTTTACATCCTGAAATATACCGCGGTGATGGCGACCCTTTCATCTATTTAGAAATGACACAATGGCCATCCGGAACAAGAAACCAACGGGCATCCATAATGAATGAGCTCAGACTCATTTATTTCCATGATGTTAAATCGTATTGTCAACCTGCAACCACTGATGGCTCCATAATGACAAAAAGCACCCGCATGCATTTTTAATTGACCCTTCCTCTTTGAAAGCCAGGAAATCTCTTTGTGCCTCTGACCATCCCGGTTTATAAACTGGCAATGTTGGTGCCACCCTAGAAATGCTAATGCCACCGGCGGAAGAAGATTCAGTGATGGCAGTAAATAACCCACACGGGCTCAAACAAAGAGGGACAATCACGACCGGGTTTGTCACTGAGGTGACAGCAGATGATGGCGGCGTTCATCAGTCACCGGCATATGATGCTTCACATCTGGATCTGAGGATGGATCCAGATACAAGGAGGCACAGAGAGAGTCGGAGAGGACACCATTTTTTTTGACACAATATATTTTGAGTTTTCTTTTCCGTGACATTTTTTGACATGTGACTTTTTTTCTGACATTTTTTAACGTAATATCTTTTAACTTTTTTTCTGTGACATTTTTCGACTAAGTCTCTTGACTAATTCTTCTGTTACATATTTTGACCAACGTAATATATTTTTC